GATATGGTAATAATATTATAATTACAGAATCGGAAATTTGATCAATTTTATTCCAAATACACAAGCTGTTTCTAACAATACTGTCTCTAAAACAATATTATAATTTGATTTTATTCGAATTTATTAAGTAGATACAGTTTTCTTGTTGAGATCTAAAAGAAAAGAAATATTTTTGTAATCGTAAACTAAAATGTAACAAGTGGTTAATTTCGTAAATAATAATATCAATTAGCCACGCAATGATCGTCAATTGCAGATGTCTATAATACTAACTGTTGAAAAAGGAAATGCATGATGTATATGTTTATATGTATATATGTAGCAAGCTAAATATAATTTTGCGAGTAGGATAATAATCTCGTTATTCAGAAAATGAAGATCTCTTGCACGCGGATATTTCCGTGCAATTGAATGGTCATGCTATCACAGTTCGCTGCAATTCGCGTATAAATGACTTTTGTCATTAGCAAGAGAAATTAGTCGAAATTTTGGTCAAGCGAATTAGCATACTTTCATCTTGTCGTTTACTTGCAGTTTATTTCTGTGTTTAATGTAATTGTCAATCCATTTTTTACTATCAGAAATAATTAAAATACTTAAGTTTTTATAATTTAACTTTCATATTTAATTTTGGTAATTATTTACAATAAGAACTTTTTCGAATTTTAATGTTTTTTTCTTGCAATCGTGATAAAAATTTTTGTTGTGACTCTAACAATGATAATCAACCATAATCAACTATAAATAATTAAAAAAAATAGGTAGGGTACACCTTTTCGACCTCCTCCGGTTCATTAACACTTATGCCCGTATTCATAGTACAGACCGGCTTCCTTAAATTTATCTTTAGACGCTTAGTAGCCAATGAAATAATTCATTGAACATCTGAAGATAAATTTAAGGAAGCCTTAAATATAAGGCCCGACTATGAATACGGGCCTTAGAGTCGCAACAAAGATTTATATCAAGTTTGCAAAAAACAAACATTAAAATTCGGAAAAGGTTCTATTGAAAAAAATATCTTAATTTTAAGAAAATACCTTCATATTAATGAGTCGAGACTGTATGTATTTATAGTGTACGACTTTTAAGCATTTGCAAAATTTATAACTCTTCAATTATAACTCTTTAATAGAACTTTGAAACATAATCAATTAAAAGCCTCTTCGAGGTTCTATTTAATATCAAAGACAGATAAAGCCTTCAGATATTGCTAATACAAGTTCAAGTTAAGTAGATTCTTCACTCTCAAGTTTGAGATTTGAATAAAAAAATTTAATTAACTTGTTTACTTTATTTTTAAATCTATAAGTTATTCAAAGCTCTCTTCCAAATCTCCAAACTCAAATTGGATCAATAAAATTTACTGTGCTTATTCTGTTTCTCCAATATTAGAACCAATTTTTTCATTAGCAAACGAGAAAAGAAGGATGGAATTTTTTAAATATTTCAACACATTACCCACGGAAATGAGGTTAAACTTATTTTCTGTAAAGTATTTTTAACAAAGTTAAAAGTGATAATTACTATGTTACGTCATACGTCAATCCGCGCACTAAAATAGTCATCTTCAGTAAGTTATACACAAATAATAATTTTAGGATCATTGTTTCTACCATTTAAAACGTAAGTAGAAAAAAGATTTAGAAATATGTTATTTAAATTTTATTCTGTAACAAGCAGAATACACTGAGAATTAAAATTTATTAATTTATAGTCGGATTAACATTTAGTTTTTTACTTTTGTTTAGGTTATTCACGCATGTAATATAATATCGAATGCGTGTAATTACATTTTATTAATAAAAAAAAAATGCGTAACTCGTTGCATTTCACGTTGATGCTGTTTCACGTTTAACGGTATGAATTGTTCATTGCGGAAATCTTACCCGAGGCAATAAATAATAAATTCGTTTCTCGTTTTTCATTTTTCTCGTTAGCGTGTAATAAATAAAGAAAAAAGAATAATTATTAAATCGGAACAATTGTTACGCTCAATCGTTGCGCCGAGAAGCATTTTTAAACCCCGACGGCAGACTTATTTAAGCTTTCCTGGAATAATTGTCCCCGTGGGAGTGATTAATTCAATGACGAAATCGAAAGGTGTGGTGCGAAGTTGAGTTCTCCACCTCACCACCTCCAATCGTAACGAGAGAGAGGAAACGAGGACAGCTCGAGAGGAGACGATCGACAACCTCGTTCTTCCCTCTCTCGTTATTCCTCCGCCGTCCTACTGCAGGCGCATCTTTTTCCTTCGTCGCATCCGAATGGAAATCGCGTTACGGGCGATCGCAGTGCAAACTGTAAATTATCCTCGACACCGCTAAATCTTGTTGCCACGCTAGATGGCAATCTAGCGCCTATTTAATTGTTAGATTGACAGCGAGGAAATACATGTTATCAATAGAAAGCAAAAATTCTTAAAGTTGTTCTTGCATTCTTATTTATATTAAGTTTCTCATTTCCAAAAATGTGTAAAATGAAATTAATAAAATTAATAAAATGAAATAATAAAATTATACGTAACAAAATCAGTTAAATTAAAATAAATTAATAAAGTTAAAATAAAATTTCGGTAAAACATACACTGTACGAGAGAGAAAGAGAGGAAGTTTTTTAAATAAACAGATAGAAACAGAGATAAGAGATTTTAAATAAAAGAAAAATTTTGAATTATATACAGATACAAATAAGAAGAGAATTTGGCATAATTAAAAATTATCAATAAATCTTTTGAATTTTATGTAAGAAACAGATAAAATTTGTGGATGTGGAAATAAAAATATCAAAAATTTTCTTTTGTGTAATTGATATCAAGTTTGGCATAAAATTAGATAAAGACAAATTATTATGTTATCAAATACTTAAAAAATTTTATTAAAAAATATACTTAACTTTTTAGATCATTACCGCCCATTTACGTTTAAATACTTTAAATAATAATGCTACATTCACATAAAGCTTTGTCGTCACTTCCTTCTACCTATCTCTTAATCGTAAACGGAATGCTGGATGTCGTGTCGCAAGAAACGCGCTCGAAGTTCTCGCAAACCTCGTCGTCGACGTGCAAAATGCAAAATGGCGTGTGTTGCATTAAGCAGTTCGCCTTCGGGTGAGGTTGAGAGAGCGCACGAACGCCGTTATATATTTTATTTTGTTCGACGTAGTGGGAGTGCGCGCACGCGGCTTTTTAAAACAAAGACACCGTCCATTGTGATTTATGCCGCGGTTTCCGCGCTCCTTTCTGATACCGAGGAGTTACGTGAATAATCTATCATGTAATCGCTCGGACGAAAGTAAAACAAATGGCACTGCTTTCGGAAAGCTTTTAGCTTCGGAAAACCTACTGAGGCTTTTACTTCTATTTCAAGAACGGCACGACGAGCAATACTTTTTATTTATCACCGTCCAATACGAGACTACCACTGGCGGTATCAGTTATGATTCATAATCATTCCTAGGAAAAACTATGGCATTGTGAATTCGATAAAAGAAATTAAACTTGGAAGTAGAGGATTCTTGAAGTTATATAAAATTATTACAATTATAGACTATAGAGATTTAGATGCGATATGTAAAACCGTAGATAGAGGTGTCATGGAGATAACATCTTGGAAAATGTTATCCTTATATCAATAAAATAAACAGAAATACTCCATAAGTACTATATAAAGTTTACACCATCAAATACGAAGTAAAACGGTAAAAATAATTTCTATGAATTAATTAATGTTCGTCACTATAAAAATTGCTAGCAAGATATTTCCAGTAGTTCTGTGGCACTTTCACACGGAATTCAAAATTTAGACATTAATGTCATCATGGTTTCCATAAGAAATTCCTCGGGATTTCGGAATCCGCATGTAAATTTTATGGAAATGCGGTACGGCGCCGCCACGTCGTAAAATTTCAAATGTGACGCTGCTGCGCTTGCGGGCCGCCTTTTATTTTACATGAACTAATATGAGATTTTACGAATCATATGTGAGCCATTAGGACCCATGATTATTACAAGGGATGTATGAATAATATATTGCGTGAAACTAAGCATTGAACGACCTATTGCAGAAAACAAGGCTCTCGCCAGAATTTTCCTGTAAACTGATAGATTATACCGTGCAATATCTTATTTCTCTAGTAAGAGTCGATACCATATTTGATCAGAACATGAATGATGATGGATTATACAAATAAAAATGGAATAAATAATAACGATGCAAAGCGAATGCTTCAGTTTTTATTTTGCAGAACGACTAGATTGCATCCGATTACGACTATCATATTTGCGCAAGCTTTTTGATTTGTCGGTTCATGTTAGGTGAATTATTGTTAATATAATCCGGGTGAGTAATATATCGAGTTAAAAAATACATGGAAAAGAGTAAGACGTATCGATCACGTTAATGCTTTCATTCTATATCTTTAATTGTTGAGTAAATAATTCACATATATTCATAATTACGTTCAAGCTTTTATATATGTGATAATTTAATATAACTAATTGTGATTTGTGAAAGAATATGTTCATAAAAGTAAAATCTGACTTTAATAAAAAAAATAATTGTAATAAATTGCGAGATAATATGTTCAGAACTCATAATTTATAGAAATTTGTTGAATAAGAAACAATTATATTAAACAAATTATTACAATTTATAATCATGTACATAAATTACAAAATATATTTTTGAAACTGATAAAAGTTCGATAAAAGATATTAGATGTAATTAGAACCTAAAATTAATAATCCGATTCCAATCAAAAAGTTATAATTATATGTCTTATAAGTTCGATAATCGGTAAGTTGATAATAATTAACTACCGTAGCTGTCACTGTTTCGGATATCATTAATTTGAATTTAAATCAATATTCTAAATCACAAGAAATATGCATGGTTATAAATGTCGCAGCGTAACTAAAGTATTATTAACGATTAATTTACAAGCCAGAGTAATTAATCACTGCAAATGTTAAAAAAAAGGTAGTCCAATTGGCTCACCTAATTCTGGACCGCAGACTCTCGGTATAATCTCCAATATGGCACTGCACGACGGATCTTCGTAGCACAATTGACGGGCGTAGAGACAATTCAGAATGGCCATCGGCACCTTGATGCCGGATCCTGAAACAAGATCGACGCCGTTCATATTAAAACGCCAGTCCGCACATAAAGAATGCACCCATAACATTTTTCTCGCCACAACGCAGCGGGTAAGATTAAAACCTGGCGTTACGGTGGGAAAAGAAGAAAATGATAGAATTCCATTGAGATCAGTTTGCCAGCACCGAAAAATTTGGGAAATTTGTCGTTATTACAGCATATTATCGCGCGATAAAATGCTACTCGTAAGATGGAGGGGCAAGAGAGAAAAAGCGAGAGTGCGTAATGATTTAATATCCCCGCGATAAAGCGTTTCCGTTATTTATAACTGGCCGACGTGAAACTCTCCGACGACGACAAATTATATTTCATTAGGCGCGCACGGATAGTTTGAATGAGAGAGAATGAAGAGTCGTGAATAAAACGGGTACCTGTACCGTACTCGCCATAAATTAACAAATAAATTATGACATCAAAATGAATTTTTTCATTTAGATGGATAATTTGCGTTTCAGACGAAAATTATCGAAACATCGAAAAGTTAGTTGATGCAATAAAATTAGTAAACTAATAAAAATTACGTTGAGATACACGTTTTAATGTATCAATTAACACGGTCCAGTATCAACAAATCGTTAATTAAAAGCAATTGAGATAATTTTCAAAAATTTATCTCAGCTCAATTCGATTACATTATATAAGATGTTTACGTAATTATGAGAGAATGGGGAAATTACAAAATACGAGGTAAACGTAAATGATATTGGCAATGTAATAGAGTAGTAATGACCTCTTATTTCTCACATTCAACGACAGATTCGATATACGGTTTAGTGCCACACTACATAACACTGTTAAATCTATAGTGTCAAATTTAACTTAACGTTGATACTATATAGCGTTAAATTGACACAATATAGAGTCAAATTTAACTATCGTTTTGGTAAGAAATAATGATATATTTAGTAGGAGCAGTGGCGACTCACGTTAAGTTAAATTTGACACTATAGATTTAACAGTGTAGGATAACTCCGGTATATACGCCGCATCTAACAAAAATTTAATTTATTAACTATTATTTATTATGTTTATATTGTTATAAATATATTTAAGGTAAATGAACTATGCCACTAAAAACTTTGTACTGTCTACTATTATGGAAAAGATATTACAAATTCAAAATACTTATTTTTCGTATATTAAAAAAAAATTTTTTAAACTCTTATATTTTTGCCGTATATATTATATAATTAGCATTATTATTATTATATAATAATTATAATATTTAATCTTATTATTTAATTTAATTATTTAATTTAATTTAATAATTTAATTAATTAATTAATTATGATTTCTTTTTATTATTAATAAAGCTTAACTTTTAAAAAAATACATAAATTTTTAATATTTTGATACTTTCCAACGATTTTCTAAAAATCGTTGTATAAGATTTATTCAAACATTTCGCTTTCAGTTTCAGTTTCGGCCGAAATTGAATAAAAAACAAATATTAGTTTTCGGTTTCAGCCGGAGGTAAAAAAGAGGTTTCGATCGGACTCTAGTTATGATATATGATTGCGCTATTTATTACGACTGCGTTTCATATAATGTTCACAAAGCTCGTGGAATCATTTCATCCTTGTTGTTTATCAAATGTTAAACAAAAACAAACAATGCTCGCGAGTGTTGTAAGCGTTAAGTGGAACGCAGCCATTGTCATTGACAAATTCAACTGACAGTAATTTTATTAATATTAGCAGTAAAGAACTGAAATCATAACACAATACCAATATAACATAAAAGCGTATCTGTAACATATGTTGCGCGCAAATTATCTCCACTCCTTTTATTGTATTTCTTCTGACTTCTGCGGCGTAAATCCCCACGTGACGTAAATACATGCATATACCGAAGTTATTCTATAATGCATCACTATAAAACATGTGTCGTTTAAAATAAATACCGTAACATGTTTCTAATGATTTTGAAGTAGAGGAGAGTGTAAGAGAAATTGCGAATATCTAAAGGAAAAATTAAATAAAAAGCCGACAATTATTTATTAATTATAGAAAACTATATATCTTCATTTTTTTAAATTGCAAAAAGTATAAAATGAAATGGAAAAAATGTTCAAATATCAATCAACTTTTTGTAAAAATTATATTATTGTGAAAAATATGAAAATTTAATTACCGATAAAACACAAAAAAGCTTCCAGCTTCTATTAACTTTTATAATACTCCCAAATTTGCACGAATTCTGCAATTCTCAATTTCGTTCATTTGAACGTATAGAGATTTGATGGCGACCAATGATCACCGTCACATTTTATAGATTGTTTACTATGCGAGTTTTTTCGTCATCACAAATACGATAAAATTGCCGAGCGCGTGCATTTAAATCTAAAGCGTAAATTGTATCGCCGTTAATGCATTGATAAAGCTGCGTAAGGATGAATTGGGTTTTTTGATTAATCAAACGATGTGATCAGCCGTGTATTACGCATAAAAGAGCGTAAAGCAACTTTATGATTTTACCAATTTGCGATATGATCCACCTTCTTGCGAATCGCTTTATTTAATTAAACTTTTTCTATATATTTAACGTAGCTATTATAAAACATTTGATTGCTGTTTACTTTAATGTATAATCCTTTTATAATTAAACTTTTTGATAAAGGAGAATGTTAGTAAAATTTTAATAAAAGATAGGTAACTTATTATAAATATATAACTTATTAAAAACATAAAAATAAATACATAAAATTAACATCAAATACCTAAAGAAGATTGTAAAGTATGTATTTTTCGGAATTAAACAAAAAATAATAAAAAATAATTTTTTGTTTTATCACACAATGCAATATCTTTATAGAACAGAATATTTTCTTAAAATATTCTATATTCTAAGATATTTTAAACAGATACTTCTAGTTTCCCATTCTCACTTTTTTAATTAACGTAAAACTATGAATGAATCATAAATTCATCGTAAATTATAAATAAGTAGCAATTTGTACATAGACACAAGTATTTAAGCTATCATAGAATATCTCAGCTTTTTCTTTCCAAAACATGCTTCTTCGTTTACGACAAAGCAATATATCGGATGTCAAATAATATTTCCTTCTTCAAGCGCATCTACACTGTCTCAGTACTTCGTGTCGAGAATTGAATCGCCACTGTGGAAATGTCTTTTCACATTACTACGTATACCGGAAATGTCGTTGCCAGCGGGATTACATCCCGTGAGATGAACGGACGAGAGCGCCGAAGGAGAAGGAATCACGAGCGTCGCTTATGATACCTTATGATATCACAATGCGTCCCCCGTGCGCGCACAAATTTGTTTTGCGTTTGATGTACATATCGCGCAATACCATAACGGGAATACGAATCCTTTCATCTCTTTTCGGGCGACGGTGAAATTCTCAAAGACGCTATGGAGCACTTTCAGAAATGGTTGTCGTCAAAGGCTTCGTTCGGTCGTCGCGATTGCAGAAATATGGCATTGTGATCTAAGCTTTTTTAAAATAGTTTCCATGGTTGTCAAAATCTTGCATCTCTCGTGGAATTGCTTCGATCATATCATAGATCATATCACAGATAACACGAATATTTTCCCGCATAATTAGATCCTCCCCCTTTCAGCCTTTCTAATTCTATAATCATATTGTCGTGATCATTGCTGACCCATAGCTAACAATTCTACGTATATACAACAATCTATTCAATTTATTTGTTTTAATATGTATGCATAGAGACTTTTATAATGTGCGCCCCTCGCACACAATTTTTTACACACACCCGCACGCACGCATGCATACACATGCAAAGCGTTCATGTCTTTTTATCTTGCTCACTTTTTTAACTTGCTTCATTAAATATTATATTTTAATTCTTCCTTTTTTATTTTCGTTTTTTATGTTATGTTATAATTGTAGCAATTGAACTTTTTTCTTGTAATAATATTTGTATGTACAAATGTCTCAAAACGTCTAATAAATGACAATTCTAATTTTCATCCTCTCTTTCTATACCTCTACTTTTTTAAATCCCCTATTCCTTAAAATATTTGATATTCAACAATGCTAATGAGATACATTAGTATTAGATACGTATGCATTTGTTTGTTAACGTTCCGCCATTTCCTAGTCAAGCATTACGTCGTTCACATAAACTACTGAAAAACACAGCTTTAATCGACAGCATTAACGTTACTGTTCCGCTTATATTCAAGAGCATTAACGTCGCCGCTATATAACCAGTTAACTACTGCTGCTATAAATTCTCCTCTTATTCACATAGGACGATCGGAAAAATCCCGCTGTCACAGCGCCCGAGCAAATGCACGCTCAAGTACGGTCACGAGGTGACTGCGCCTCGTATAGAGAATTTTTTATAGCCGCTCGTACCGCCTATATATACAACCATCCTTTTCCAACCCTCTGCTTGTCCCCGCTTCTCTACGAACGTTTCATAATTAATTACAGTACAGGCAGGAGAGGGAACAGTCAGCTCTTCTTTTATCGACTTCCGTTTTGCGAGTGGCTCGTAAAAAATCCGTGTGCTCAGTTTTTGCAATGCCTCTTTCTCTCTCTCTCTCTCTCTTTGGCACCTATATTATTCCATTTTCTCCTTTTCACACTGTCCTTTCTTCTCTCTCTCTCTCTCTCTCTCTCTCTCTCTCTCTCTCTCTCTCGCTCACTCACTCGCTCGCTCGCGTTTCAAAAAAATCTCAGCGACTTACTACCATGACGAGAGACAAGCAAACAATTGTGAACATGCTGTTAAACTTGAGAAGCGTAATGATGAAAACTTGTGTTGTGAGAAGTTCGTTAATTTCTGACTTCTTGCATTATTAGAAAATTAAATAGAGACATTATTCGGTTTGTAATTGTTACAGTTCTTTAAATCGGTATTATACAAATATTCAAACTTATAATAATTACAAAAATATTAAAAGTTTCTATAATTAGAAGGAAATCATTGTTTAAATAATAAATTTTAATTACTAATTAAAATTTGAAAACTACGTAACAATGGA